TTTGATCATAGAGGGGAAGAGTGAAACGGCCCAAAGAATAGGCCCAAGGTATTGGGACTCTAGAAGCTCCTTCGGTTGAGTACAGAACTAGACCTTAGTCATCAGGTCCACGTAAGCACTCTCAAGTGCCTTTCTACAGACATCTATAATTCTCTCTTTGACTCTTCTGTAAAGGTTGGGTTAGTTGGGACCTGGAACACCCGGCAGAGTGAGGACCTTCAAATTCGTCGTGGTTCTTTCTTGAGAAATGACTTTGTCATTTCTCCATTATGTCTTGCATTATGTAAAACGAGACATTTTTCAAAAGTGATAGAAGAAGATTATTCATTTAACAAATATTTGACATATGAGTAAAAACTGCTTTCTGGTCGCTTCTCCTCAATTCCCTCAAAGTGCTCAATTTCCTCACTCGAGTAAAATGAGGACTTTGAGTAAATTGAGTACTTTGAGGGAAATGAGGAGAAGCGACCAAGTTGGTGGCTTTACTCGTTTTAGAAATTCCCACAAAGATGTCCACCAATAAATTTATTATCTCCCCCACATTATCGGCGATGTTTTATCGCCAATCAAGTCTTGGACTGGCGGTTGCCCCAAGATCAGTCTCTCAGCGAGCGTCAGAAGTTTTCTTGCACCTCTTCGTACATTCTGAATTATTTTAAATTTTTTGTGAGATTTTAAGCGAGCCTGTTTTGCCAAATTGAAAATCATGCAATTGTGAATATCATTCCCCAAAATTCAAGTTCATCTTACAAACTTTGGACACACCAGAGTAAAAACCGCGTTTTGGTCGCTTCTCCTCAATTCCCTCGAAGTCCTCATTTTACTCAATTGAGTACTTTGAGGGAATTGAGTACTTTGAGTAAATTGAGGAGAAGCGACCAAAGTCCTCACTTTTGGTGGCTTCTCCTCGCTTTTTCCTGAGCCAATCAGATCATTCTATGTTTTTGTTTGTTTGTTTGTTAAGTATGAGTTGCTCCTTTTCCTCCACGCGATCACAAATGACTTAAGAGGGTCTTTTTGTTTTCCAACAATGACAAAAATCCTCGTTCTGTCGGGTGTTCCTGTATTTATTTGTTTCAAACTGCCCACCGAAACAACAAGAAACTCATAATATGATCAGAAACTCATAATATGATCAGAAACTCATAATATGATCAGAGATCGATCGCAACTCTTACAACGGCTTTGTAGCTCGCGGATGAACAAGCAAAATGGAAGTAATATTATCGGTTTTCTCCGACGGTAGATACCAACGGTAGATAGCTGTGGTAACAGGACTTAAAGCATCCATGCATCGGGGGATAAGTAAACAAAACTAAAAAAGAAAACAAAACTGGCTTTGAAAAGTCAGAGCAACTTATGCATCTAAGTCTTGGACCATCAGCACGGCCTGTGGAGACAGTCCACTTTCCACCAGAGTTTGGTCTTTGTCATCATATTGTTTCTTTGGAAAGTTTGTAGACAGAGCAATGTTCTTGATGCCTACATTGTTCTCCGAAAAGTGTAGTATGAGAAATGCCTTCAAAGCACCAACAGTATCGCTTTCAAAAAAACGACGGTCTAACTTTCGACCGCTTGGCAGTACAAACCTGATACGCGCACCTCCGGAAACCGGTTCACTACGCAGCAAAAGTTTCGCTGTGCTCAACCGTTCTTCTTCTTGTTCAGTCTCTCGACGCTTCTTCTCTTCCTCTTCCCGCATTCGGACTTCTTCAATATTCTTCATCTCTTGCTTCTGTCGTTCTCGCTCCTGGTCAGCAACCAGAGCTTGCTGGTATTCTTCATCTTGCTGCCTTCGAAGCTCATTTGCTTGCTCTCTCTCCAATCTCCTAGTCTCGAGAGCGATAAGTTGGGTCGAATGCTGCTTGTAGGTTGCTGTCAATAGTGACATGAGTTGTGTAGCTGGCATCATGAGTAATGATCGGCCTTCGGCTCTAAAGAGTAACTTCATTCCATCAGAACTTGCACTTCCAGGCTGTAATATGGCTAAAAGAGGAAAGCTAGTGGCTCCCAATTGATAACATAAAGTTGATCCTTGTGATGTTTGAACAGACGATCCAATCGCCTCAATATGGTCTTGACACAAAAATGTCAACATCTCAGGTCCAGCAAGTCTTCGTGAGAATCTCCGAGCTTCTCGATGGACAGGGTTGTAGATATAGATGAAGAGCAGTGAATGATTAGCCGCCGCTTCCTGTCGGAGGGCAGCAAATCCAATCTTGGAAAATGCAATATCCACATCTTCACAATCTCCAGGAGAACACAACGACTTGAGATCGTCGGTGAAATGACGGGAAGCTTTTCCTGCGACAATTGACGATAGACCATCATAGCTTCCAGATGGAAGAAGGAAATTGCTTGCAGTCTTAAGTGGCCACAAGAGCGCTCTGAAGACTAACGCCAGCATTTCCAGCCAACCTGTTGACAGACTTTGCGATCGGCGATTCTATATCATGATAGTGAAGAGTGCAAAAAATAGTAGTGAAAATGACACTGTGAATCGACATTAAGGCGGGATGAATCCGTTTCGACCTACCTGGGGTTCGACCATGGTAATGTTTTTTCCGCAAAATTAACGCAAGTGAACTCGATCATCATGCGACGCCAAGATGTTGGTTTGTCTCTCATTTCAAAACTAAAACTACGTCTGTACATTACTGTATGCCGCTTTTTTATAAAACATACTACATCCCCCGGGGAGAAAAGAAGGGGAAAGAGAAGAAGGAAAAGGAAATTGAGTAGCGAGGTACGAGAGATTTGGGACGAAAACGAGTACGATGACAAACATGGGGATTTTACAAGATGTGTGCGAATCTCTAGGTTAAACTATCTAACGTACGAATGACGGACACTCTCTG